GGTCTGTTGAATAAAGTACAAGGGGCTGGATTTGTTCGTGAGAGATGGTTTTAGCTGACAACGGTGTAAAGGATAACCTATCTCTAAGTCTTCCTCGCCAGCGTAATAATCCTCACCAAATTCAGCCTTCTAACTCAGGTCCTCAGTAAAGCAACACAAAAAGGAACAGATACTTCTTCCTAAACAAATCACCTATGAGATTTAAAAATCTTAAATCCTTAGGAAATTTCTCTAATGTAAACTCTGGCAGCAATAGGACTATTGTGCCCAAAAGGTTCAATAAGTGGCCCAAATTCACAGCAAGTGACTTTCAGGACTAAAGTGCGGACTAGTTTTTTGGAACTCAAAAGTATTCTCTGGTTTGCCACATCAACCTAAGGAGTATCAGGATTTTTCAGTATCAGAGAGTAGCAGAAATTGCTTGATCTCCATTTTTAAGGTATTACATAACTTCTATAGGTGTTGCACAGTATGTGTTGAAATTATATGACTAGCTTATTAAAGTCAAAACAGAAGCATAACCAAAATTTAGAATTTCAGAGAATCTTAGAACAATGAATATATGCCTCAAATAGAACATTGTATTACTCCATAAAAATTATTTAATAAGTCTGAACTTTTTCAAGGAACTCTAGGATCATTTTCAGCTTTCAGGACTTAACATATAACCTCAAACAAACAAACAAAAATCCGTTTGCCCTCTCTAAGGCAGTGTATGCCCTTTTCTAATTTTTTGAATAATTACCATTCCAAATATTAAAAACATAGATTAGGGACAAAATAATTAATGATATATTTTTTTAAAAATCTAAAAGTTTCGCCTCGCCCATAACAAAAACAATAAAACTTAAACTCAGTGCCAGATTCGAACCTAATTTCTGTACACTTAATAGTCATACAGATACTTACCTCTTTCTCTGGATCTTTCCATTCCATTTTTAAAATTCATGTTAAAATATCCTAACATGTAAATAAAGTTTTGCTAAGTACCTCGTATCCTTGAGAAAGATTTCAGATTCTAATACATCCTGCACTCTTCTGTTTCCACACTGACTATGATCTTGTTTTGACACTTGTGTGGTAAAGGGGTGCTATAAGTGGAGTTGTGACTACCAACCCATAAGTCAATTTCATGGACATCACTCCTGATTAAATATACGTACTACTACCCTTTTAAAACCTACAATTGCAAAGAGAAATCCTGAATTTGGTAACTGATAAAATTAAATTTAATGTTTTATTCTATAGTCTTTTCATATAGAATATGATTTTTTCTTGTAAAAGATATTCAAAGATTGTTTTCTTAACTAAACATGGGATTTCACTGTCTTATATAGGCCTGCTTTCAAGGAAATGGAGAACAAATGCTATTACTATTTGTGACAGCTACTAGAAAGCATCCAAGAACATTGGAAACATGCTAACCAGTAAACCTTGTCCACAACCTAGAAACTGATTTCCCTTATGAAGGGCCCTATTGCAAAGCTTTAAGCTCTAGTTACTCCCATTTAATTAAACAGGCAACGTCACAGTCTATAAGATCTAGTCGTTCGGAAGAAAATCAAACATTCTGAGTCACATTTTCCTTCTCTGAACTATGGTGTAAGAGTTGTTCTCAGAACATATTGAATCAGGAGCTACCTGTTGAACAAGAGCTAGATAATTTCCATTGTTATTCCACATATAAATGAAACATTCTCATTAAGAATATATAAATGTTAGAACTCAAAGAACTTCCTCAGTTATAAAGTAGATAAAAATGGTGTTGATTCCTATTACTTAAACAATTCAAAGAAAGTATGTGGGGGACAAAATCCAACTGAAATTACCAGCAAATAGAAACAATTACCTGAAACATTTAGGCAGGATAAAAAGGAAACCCTTTCACTTAAATTTAACTGGAAAATTCCTCAGATTTACAGCAGCTGTTCAAAACAGGGTGCTCAATAAATGCACTAAGATTGTTAGAATTGTAGATCTAGCAGTAACTCTTCAGAACATGTAGTCCAAACATTATGGACTTAAAGCCCTATGGAAGCCAAATAGTTGAAATAAATGTAGGTAAATAAAGAATGCATGTCTATTCAATGCAAGTGCTATTTAGCTTGAGCTTCTTATTGCCACATGAGAATGGGAAACTTTTTTTTTTTTTTTTTTTTTAGTCTTCTACTCTTTCAAGAGAATCCAGAAATCCAGATTTTTATATGAAGTCACCTTTTAAAGGTTGGCAACTGGTTCATAATTTTTAAACAATGTGCAAGCCAGTTTTTGACTAGCAGACTGTCATCTAGTCTCAGCTTCTGATATTAGACTTTTAAACCTGAGATTCTTCCAGAGAATAAGTGACTTTCCAAGGCCACAAATAATTAACATAAATTTAAATTCAATATTTTCCTGTCTAAAGAATTTCAATCAAAATAGTTCAAGTAAGATGTATATTTACTGAGTCCTCAAAAATAAGCATACTTAGCATAACCTTTATTAAATAAGCATTTAATGTGAGAGGTGAACATGGTGTACTGATTAATAAGTTATTTTTTTAATTTAGTAATTTTTCTAGTATAATTCGGGGCGGGGGGAAGGATAACAGGTAACGGATATGTCAGTTCTCCTATGCTGGAGCAGATTTTTAAGTAAAGTTTTAAATCAACATCTTCATGACCAAATCATACAGAGTAAATTAATCACTTCTCTGGGCTTATTTATCAAGTAATGTCAAAAAAGTAAAGTATGGAAGAAGCCTCTGAAAGCAAAATGATATGTTATTAAGCCCAGTTTTCACAAAGACTCTTATCACAGCAAGTGGTGCCACCATCTACCCGGTCACCCTTTGCTAGAAATCTGGTAAGTTATCATCACTTTTCCATTTTTTTCTCCTTGCTACATTCAACTAATCATTAAGTCCAATGAAGTCTATCTAGAAAAGATATATCTAGTCTGTCTTGCAACATTTTAATTACCAGTATCAGATATTAAGCCAGAGGTTTAAAAAAAATGTGGCTAGTAGGCCAAACCCAACCCACAGAACATTTTGTCTGACCTTCATGGTATTTTTTTTTAATATGAATATTTGTCAGTATTAAAAACTGAGAGATTTCTCACACACACACACACACACACACACACGCACACACACACACAGATTTCCAACTTTTCTTGGAATATCAGAAGATCTGGAAAAACCAAGATGAAGGTAAGTTACAGTCACATCCTTTGGAGAAGGCATACACTCTCTAGTTGGTTACAGTGCTCACCTTTACCTATGCTTCACTCATTTTACTTGAGTATGTAAACCCTGAGTTAGACCTTGACCATTTATTTCCTGAACTAATGAGATAATTTCTTGACTGGGCTCCCTGCCTCTGATTTTAACCCATTCAATTCTTATTTGACAATGCTGACAAATAGACTTTATAAATGAAACGTTTTCATTTCACTCCTTGCTTAAAATCTTTCAACAGTATCCCATCATCTACAAGCTAGAAGTCAACTTCCTAGAATTCAAAACATGCAAAGCTATTCCGGATTTCATCCCTGTATATATCTTCAATCTCACCATATATTAAATCAGACTGAGTTGCTTATAATTTTCCCCAAATGCCATGATCTCTCCCACTTCTGTACTTTAAGATTGTTCTTTCCTCAACTTAGAATGTCCATCCTTTCTTTGTCTGGCTAAATCTTACTCTTTCCTTCAAGATCAGCTCAAGTATGATCTCCTCTGGGACACTTTATCAGGTTTCCACTCCCTGTCCTCTCTATCTACCACTTCCCGTCAATCTGCCAGGCTGCTCCTCCTGCACATCAGTAGCATCCTATGGCTGTTACAGCACTGTATTTTAATTATTGCTTTTTTTTTACCTTTGTCTTCCAACTAAAGTTAGCTCCTCTAAAGTAACCCCTGTTAAATTTCATCTTAAAATGTAAATGAGAAGATAAAAGTATTTATCTTCTGCTGCTGAAAAAAGGAATTAACATTTATAAAAGGCCTCCATGTGCCAAGTACTATAGCTAAGTCCTTTTGTAATTTCTCATTTACAATAAATGAGATAGGATTTACTAGGATTTACAATAAATGACAAAGTATATAGATTTTGAAATTTTAGTTATGCCTTGGTTAAATTTTGAGATATTACTTGCTTTTGTAAGATCCTCACATTACACTATTTTGAGGTCATAGATGTTATTCAGATACAATCATCCTTTGGTATCCTACTGGGAACTGGTTCCAGGATCCCTGTGGATACCCAAAATCAGCAGATGCTCAAGTCCCTTATATAAAATGGTATAGTATTTGCATATAATCTATAGACATCCTCCCATATATTTTAAGTCATCTCTGGATTACTTATAATATCTAATACAACATAAATGCTATGTAATTTGTTGTTATACTGTATTGTTTAGGGAATAATGACAAGAAATAAAGGTCTGTACATATTCAGTACAGACTCAACCATCACAGGCTTAACTAATAGAACAAGTCAGCAACAATGCAACATTTTTTTTTTCAGATATTCTCAATCAGCGGTTGGTTGAATCTGTGGATGCTGTACCTGTGGATATGTCGGGCTGACTGTACTCATAATTTGCTTAAGACCTATTTTTAGTTCACATTATTTCTGACAACTCATTTAGTATAATTTTCCCTGATTTGAAAAAAAGGGAATGAAAAAAATGCTCAAGAGCAACAAAGCTTAAGGAAAGGTTAAAGAAATACCCATATTAATATCCATACAATAAAATGTTCACGTAAGGAAAAATCTTACCTGTAAGACTTTACGGAAAGAGAAACATTATATAATGTTTACATAGGGAGGATTCATTCAAACATAATTTTCAGCTGCTCCTATATTTAGCAAAATAGGTAAAACTATTGCAAAAGATTTAGAAGGTTAACTTACCCTTTCTGTAAGAATTACAATTGGTGAAAATATAGAAGGTTAACTTACCCTTTCTGTAAGAATTACAATTGGTGAAAATATAGAAGGTTAACTTACCCTTTCTGTAAGAATTACAATTGGTGAAAATATAGCATTCATGAAATCAGACACATCAATTTGAAATAAATATTTCAAAATTGGACACTCGGAAGCATCTTCTGTGGATTTATAAATAAAAATATGTTAACATTTTATATGATGTAACTTTTGAATCTAATATCTTCCTAAATTTCTGCCTTAAAAACCAAATAACTTGTTTCTTACCTTTTTGAGCAATGTAATTTTGAGAAGACAAAGAGTACTTAGTTGAAAACATCTGATTGTTTGGCAGAGTATTTTCCACAGATCTGTCTATTTCCTCCTGAGCAGACCCTTCAGTATCTAGTGATGTTTTTGATTTTTCATCATTATTTTTAGAAGAAGGAGTTTTGAATTGTACTTCTTCATGAATTCTCATAGGTAACCCTATTTTAGAGACCGTATCTGCAAATAAATAAGAGAAATGTTTTGTTGTGTGTGTGTGTGTTTTTTTTAAGTACTTGCTTTGTTGTGGGCTTCCCTTTTGTTTTCTAGGCAGATCATTCTTTGAACCTTTGTAGTCATTATGATATTTCAGTTTATAAGTATTCGGCCATTTGGAATGACCCCATCCTTTATCTTCAAAGCCAGCAGTACAATCTCTCTCTTGATCTGACCCTCCTGCTTTCCTCCTATAAGTAACCTTGTGATAATATTGGGCCCACTAGGAAAATTTCTCCATCTCAGGATGCTTAAATTAATCACATCTGTAATGTCTTTTTTGCTTTGTAAAGTAACAGATTCACAAGGTCTGGGGATTAAGACATGGACATCTTTGAAAGACTGTTATTCAGCCTACCAGATAGCCTTTCTCATGTTCCTTGACCAATGAAGACTTTTTAAAACTGTATACAATTCTATTCTCTACATTATCTTTTGTCCTAAAAACTATTTTTTAAAAAAGAACAAACAACTAACATAATTGTTCAACAACTGTTATTACTATACAGTATAAGCTTATAACTAGGAATAAGACAATAAATAGATCCCCATAGAATTGCATTCCTCTTAGATACATTTATTACCCAAGACTGTATGATATTTAAATACCATTAAAAATGTATATGTCCCTGCTCTTCAAGAAAATTGATGAGATAATATTTCTTACTTTATCAGAGAACCAAAAAGAGAATCAAAATGACCAAAATTACTTATAGTATCTGCAGCCTACTTGATATTAATAGTTAATCCTATGTAATACATAGAACAAACTGAACTGGTTGTACAAAGAAAGGTAATGTTAAGATTTACAGCAATTAACTTCCAAGTTCTGAAATCTAGTCCACTGGATCATGCATTTCTACAACACATATTTGCTAATATGTATTATTAAATATAAAAACCATTGTCGCTCAAACTTTTAATGAGGTTGTTCCAAAGGCGGAATAACCACCACCCACTACTAAAGAAACTATATTAGCCATTTGCACAGAAAGGTACCCATATTTTTAGGATATATGAAACAAATTTAAAAATGATAAAATACCAATTAACTCTTTTCATCCCATGTCTAGTATATTATATTATTATATATTATATCATATCATCCAATGAGTATATTAAAAGAAACAAGAAATGAACAAAAGCTTTTAAAATCCCCAAATCAAATACATCCTTTACATCAAATGAAAATTTTGGAGGAGGATGATTGAAAGCAATCCTTACTGGTTAGCCCCAATACGATTTTTATATTTTAAAGTATATTATGTTATTTGCTAATTTACTGGAGTGTTGTGTAAAGCAAATATAGATAACATAAGTCCAAAATATACTCTATCTGGCTAGCTAGGCGGGTGTCTCCTTCTTCCCTCACCATCCATGTGCGTCCCTGCCTAAGCTGCGCGCTCGGTCGAAGAGGACGACCTTCCCCGATAGTGGAGAGCACTGTTCTTCGGTCAAGGGTATAGAGTGGCTGAGCTCCCCTGCTAGAACCTCCGTACAAGCTCTCAAAATATATTCTTGACATCATTATTTAAATTATTTTAGGAATTATTCATTTATTTTAGAAATTATCAAGAAAAGATCGTGTTGGCTTAGTAGAAGGAAAATACCGATATTACAAATAGAATATAAAAATAACAATTATAAGAGATTCTCATTCAACTATTTGTAAAATACTGCTATGAATATATACAGGTATATGCTAATTTTCTCTTTCAGACCCAATAACAGCATAAGGCTGTGCTGAGAAATCGAGTTAAAATTAATACTAAATTGTATTTTGAATTTCATTTCTATGCTATGAATGTGTCTGGCAAAGACAAAACTTCACATGAGATTGATGTTTCCTTAATTTGATGACCTCATTAAATTTACATATTGCTTCAGCAAGATGAGAGTGTCATTAACTTTTGAAATGGAACTCAAGAAATTACAAAGGTTATCACTGCTTTTTAAAAGATGTCAAATAATTCTATATTGTGAGATAAAAATGCATATTATCCAACTGAAAACATGATCATTACTTTAAGGAAAATATAAGTTTTATTTTGCATTTCAATAAAACAAGATCGATAGAGTTTTAAATAAAACATTCCTGATTTTACTGCTTTTATGCTGCATACTAAATATTTAAATGATTTATACTTTAAACTGATATTATACCTGTGTTCAAATTTAGAATGAAAATTTAAATATCTTGAGAACCTTCATTTAAAAAGGATTACCTTTCCACAAGATTAATTATAAATTTTTTAATTTGAAACGTCAAACTTCACCATGTTTGTAATGTTGCATCATATATTTATGTGCATGCCATGTTAAATAGCCATCAGTTTGTTCTAAGGCAATTCAATTTTCAAACATAGTTTCAACCGATTGTTTTTGATTGAATTAACTAATCAAACAGGATTTTTTTTAAAAGGTTCTAACCAGTTCTAGCCTGAAGTATAGTATTCAACTAAACTCTGGGATTTACTTCTCAGTTACTTTTTAAGACAAGGAGAGAAAAGTATCAGTGCAGTCCTCAAAAACAATATTAAAGAGTTGTAAGTGAATTACACAATGTCAAATTTTGTTCTTTGAGTAATGAATTTAACAAAGCACTTTGATGTTGTCACTTACTTAGCATTGTTTAAAAGATGAAAGTCCCAAGTAAGCAAACATTTATCGGTAATTTAATGATACCACTTGTGGACATTAAAGTTAAAAACAAGCAACAACTTGGGAGTCTGAATACAACAGGACTGTTGTGAACACAGGACTCAAATAGTGATCTACTATGCTCTTTAATGGCAGTAGAGGTAAAAAAGGCTTATTCAATAATTAATTATATTCTAATTTAATATAACTATATTAGTTTTTTTAAATATTGTCTTCAAATGCATTTGAAGTAAACATACATGTTAAGAAAAATATTTCCTGTAATATTTTTCTCTTTAATTACAGAGAGAGATTATTTTCACCTGATAAAGTAAATCGATAAAGTTCTCTGATAAAGTAAATCGTAAACTTTACGATTTACATTAATTATAGATATGCTATTTAATTACAGAGAGATATTATTTTCACCTGACTTAAACCTAAACTTTACGATTTACATTAATTATAGATATGCTTTTCTTACAATTGTTTTTAAACAAAAGTTTAAGTCAAATAAAATAATGAATAATTTTTCACATTTAATGGTACTTGGTAAATTCACTATATAAATATGCTCAATTAGAATCCTTTTGTAAAATAGTTATTAACATTTTAATACAAATAACTGTTCCCTAATATATCTTTTTTGTAAGTTTTTATATCAGTATATTAGTTTTTCTGTAAATGTGGTTATCGCAAATCTCAGCCTTTTACAAATATTGATTCACAATCAGTGATTCATTTTTTCTTATAGGCTCTTTATAATTAAAAGAATTGTGGAAATTATCTGAATATATTGGCTGTGTTAGCTATTTCTCAGTATCCAGAAAATAGAGCCTATGGCTTTATCCGAATCCCTCTTTTAGTAATCTTTTTTTAAAACAAATTTTGCATGACCCCAGGCTGTTTTTTGTTTAATTAATATTCTAATGTTTTGGAATAATCCACTTTGTTTATATAGTATAACATATCTTTTTTCTGAAACAAAAGAATTTCTGAATATTTTAATAATAAAATTCCTCAAAACTAATTTTAATTGCATAAATATTCAATTCTCATTTGAACGTTCACCAAATTTTTCATATCTGGATATTCTCCCAGCATCATGAAATGATAAATTCTACTAAAATGATATACAGGTTGTCCTGGTGTTCCTATAAATATGCTCTAAAATATTTTTATATATTTATATTTTGAATCTTCTGTATTTCTGGACCTGATATTATTTTGCTTTGTTTTAGTCTTCTTCTTTTCAGTTACTCTTATCTACTTTTTTCACAATATTCCTTTAGGATCTAACAAGTTTAAAACAAAATACTTTTACTCTTTCGTCTTTGACAATTTCGTTTTCTAACGTTTTTAGTCATGAAACACGTCATACCTACACATATCTCAAAAAAACATGGGTTAGAATCTAAAGATCTCACATTTTGGAGAATATTAACAAATGAGATAGTTCTGGAAATTCAAGGAAATCAACTCATTCTAATGGAAATGTGTTTCCTTCTAAGCGTGCAACATTGTTGATCTCTTCTTGTGAAAGATTTTCTGTCATTCTAAGAGTCATTTGTCTCTGTATTACTGGCAAATATTTGCTGAGTTTCTAATCTGTCCGTCATGGAGATGTAGGAAAGTGATGTTATATAATTCTTTACTTAAAATATAATCCACATATTTTTAATTATAGAAGTTGCTAGATCCTGGACATCTAGATCTAGAAGTATCTTCTGATACTTTTTCTCTTCTGTTGCTCTCTGTTGAGCTCTTAGAATTGGAAAACTCAAAAGAGAAGGTTGAAAACTTGAATTTCCTTATTATCTTGTACACATAAAGAAAACCTTAGTTATAGTTTTTCTTATTAAGGGTGGTAGTGAAGGGGTACAGACCTTAGAATAAATTGTCATTTAGGAATGAAAATTATTTTGAATTATTGAAGTTTTTCTTAGTTTAAATTTCTTAACAACAACAACAACAGTAGTGGGAAGGTGTAAATGAGCTAAAAAGTGAGTGTCAATGAGCAAAACTCTCATCTACCAGAGTAGGAAGTCAATGGACATCATCTAAAATAGATTATTCGAAGCTGAACAATATAAAGATTTCATTTAGAAAACAGAAGTAAGTACTAAAAGAAATTTGCTTAAAAAAAAAAAAGAAAGAATTGTCCCCGGGACAGAGGTGGGAGTAGAGATGGACAGAGGAACAGTTTCCTTTGGTTAAAAAAAAAGAAAAAGAAAAAGTCTCATTTCTTTGTAAAACTCCTGGGTGGATGTATATAATTAAACTTTCATTTTTCTCAGTTTGATTTGCAAGTCCCAGTCATTGAACTTAGGAGGGTATAGAGCAAAAGATTTATTCCCCCAACAACACAGGACAGTCTCCCACAGTAAAGAATTATCTGGCCCAAAATGTAAGTAGAGCTGAGATTGAGAAGCCTTTCTCTATACCAACAGCTAGAAATCTAAAGCATGAAAAGTCAGCATGGTGTTTGCGAGTTTAATAGCTTAAGCGAAACCAAACTAATTCTCCTTTATGGTTGTGAGCATTGGACATAATACTAAGAACTTCAATGTTTCAAACTGTGCTTAATAAATAAAATGACTCAAAAAAAAAAGCTTTAACACTTTATATTTTAAAAACTGTTTATATATATTACTTTAACAAAAATAGAAATTTATTGTAAAATTCTTTAGGAACTTCCTGGAACATCCATATATTTCCAATCATTATTTTTCCCATGAAATTTTATTTTATAATATTAAGATCTAAGTCCTAGAGTAAACCAGAAATTGATAAAAAGGACAACTAATAAAGTTGTTGATTATTGAGTATTTTGAGAACATGGGTTCCTAAACTTTTTGTATTTATAAAACTACTTACCTTATTTATACTTATAAATATAAATTATGTCTAAAAAATATAGATATTTTTATACCAGCCTGATTGACTGTATCTGCTTTTTGACATTCTAAGTTTCATATTAGCTATGGGACCATTTTCAACTGAAAATTCTTCTGTTTCATCATTTTCAACTATATTATTCTTATCCAGTATATGTTTAGGAAATGGCAATTCTGTTTCCTTTTGGAAGTTCCAAGGACTGTCAAAATTACATAAGAAATCATTAAAATATGGTAAGGTATCAGAATCATCTGTTTTCTCTAAGACTTTTTCCTTACCTAATTGATTTTCGGTTTCCATAATTTTTATTGATTTTATTTCTTGTTCCTTATTAGGGTGAAATTCACTTGTTGAAGGATATTCATGTTTATCTCCTTCACCTTCTTTTTCATTTTTTCCATCATCTGTTATAATTTTATCTTCATTGGCATATGCAAAACCTAGCATATTAAAACCAAAATCAAACCAACTTGGTTTGAGAACTGAGCTCGCATTAGTGATTGTGTCTTCTTTTTCTGTTAATATTTCTGTACGTGGAACCGTGGATTCTTCCTCAGATGATACAGAATTAGGAACATTTTGTAGTGGTGTATTGCTTTCTTTGGGCAATAATTCAAGCCCTGTATCGTCACCTCCAAAACCTAAATAACTTGTAAATCCACTGCCAAACCAACCAGTGGCTTGAGGACTGAGAATGTGCTCTGACTCGGACACTTCAGACTGTTTCTTAGGCACTGAATTGAATTCCGATTCAGGTTCTTTCTTATGTTCTGTTTGGGACTCAATATTATTTAATTCCTCTAAGTCATTTTCATCTTCTGCTATTTTTCTACTTTGAAATGAACTTTTTTGTAGAGGTTCAATAATTGATTCAACAGTCTTCTCTTCGGCTTGTTCCTTTCCAAATCCAAACCATCCTTTCACTTCAGGCACAGTTGAGGGTGGTGGGACATAATCCACCCCTGGAATAGGATCCTGTTTCACATTTCCAGCTTCTATTCCTTCCCAGTTTGATGATTCACTATTTCTTCTGATATCTTCAGGGGACTCTGACACTGGAAATTGGTCTTCAAACCCAATACTTTCAGATGTTGAAAAAGATCCAGGTTCTGTCAGAAAATCGTTTTCATATATACTAGATTTTTGGTCTTTATCTTCTTCATATGGATATATATTTTCACCATTATCACTTTTTAACTCACTATCTTCATTTTCAAATGTGTAGCTTACTCCAAGAAGACAAAGAAAATCAGATTCCTAAAAGAAAAAAAATTATGATTAACATTAATATATTAAAAATTCTTGTGTCTCCCTAAATTATTTAAAATGTATGACTATGATTTTCCCAAGACCACACAACTAGCTCAAAAACAGAGCAAAACCTAAAATCGGATCTCCTAATTTCAGACACTTATATCATAACTGACTTCTCAGATTAATGATATAAACTTAAACAAAAATCCTTTTACATTAGGATTAATTGTTATCAAATAGTTGAAGAATTTAAGAAGCAGAGACAATAAAGTCTTTGAGTATTTTCTGCAAATAAACTCTGATGAATAGGCATGCGTATCCATAAAATCTTGCTCCTTCTACTTGTGCACATGTAGCTATGTGGTAATTTGAGGGAATGGAATTTCACAGCATATGATCACAGCTAAAACAGACTAGAGACTCTAAAGCATGAAGGCTGGTTAAAAGTTGTCCTAAGATATTTAGATTTATTTTAGAGATATTGCATATAGTCGATGGAGGTAGGGATACTCTTGCTTATCTCACAGAACAACCAAATCATCAAGAATAAAAACAGTAAAGCTAATATTATTATTTTTTTAATCTGAAGGTATCGAACAGTGATATGCACTGTTATGCACTGCTCTTTGGATATCACCATTATTAAACGAGAATAATTTTCAGAATTTTTAAAAAGGAACTTCAGAATTGCAATTTTACAATATGTTTTTGGCACTGCATTACAGTGATTAAGAATAGACTTCTGGAGCCAAACTCTCTAGATTCAAATCCTGACTCTGCCATTTACTAGTTCTGTGACCTTGAGTGAATTATATGAACTTTCTGTGCCTCAGTCTTGTCATCTGTAAAATGAGAATGACAACACCTACCTTATAGGGTGTTTTGAGGATTCATGAATCAAGTGCTCAGAATAGTAACTATCTCTAGTATACACTAGCCTAACCTAGCCCAAGGTTACACTACTCCAGATGAGCCAGAAATGCAAGGGTAAAAAGCTCCAACCTCTTGCCTCTATTCCAGACAACCCTGAAAGGATATTCCACCTTCAGAGTTCTTTATAAAATCAATTGAGACCTTTGGTGCAATTGCATCACAGTTCAGCTTCTCTGCCCCATCTTGCCTTTTCTTTTGCTCCTTCACAGGTGCTATTATTCCCAAGAGGACTCCCCAGTAAACTTCTTGGATGCAAAGGTCCATCTCAGAGTCTAATTCCCAGGGAACTTGACCTAAGAATTTGGGGCTACTGTGTGTTTACTGTGTGCTCTACACTGTGATAGGTGCTGGAATTCTATAGTAAACCATAGAAGAAAAGTAATTATAAGTTGTGATAACTGCTATGGAAGAAATAAATAGGAAGCTGTGATTAAGAAGCAGTAATTCCATAAGAATCACTGTAGAAGGCCTCTCTGTGGCACTGATGTTTAAGCTGTGACCTAAGAGATTACAAGGAACTAGCCAAGTGAAAAACTTGAGGAAAGCATTCCAATCAGAGGGAACAGCCTGTTTGGGTCTCTCAGCTGGGAGACAGCTTGGCGTGTTCTAAGAACAGTCAACAGGCCAGGGTGGCCAGGAGCATAGTGAGTGAGGGGAGAGTGGCATAAGACAGAGTCAGCAAGAAGGGCAAGAGCAGATCATGTAGCACCAGGGTAAGGAGTCAGAGCTTGATTCCAGGTTCAGTGAAAAGTCATTAAATGGCTTTAAATCAAAAGAACGACATGATCTGACTTTTCTCGTTTTTGTTTCTATAAGATTCATTAATGTTCAGAGAATGAATTGGGAAAGGGAATAAGCAGAGGTAAGGAGATCAGTTAGAAGACTTTTGTAGTCAGCATTCTAATTAAGAGATTATTATGCCTTGAATTAGGGCTATCGGGAGATGGAAAGTGGTGAGAATACAATATACTCCAGAGGTATTTTGGAGCTAGAACTAACAGGGCCAGTAATTATACAGTAAATGGGCAGTTAATCCCAGAGTTTGTGTTGGCAAAGAGCCAGATAATAGATAGTTTGCTTAACTCACGTCACACTGATCTTATTTAAGGTAAATTGGCTAACCTGGAATCTGAATTAAATGAGCTAATCAGGTTCACATATTAAAAAGTAACCTTTTGATTTCCTTTCTCATTATCAAGCCCAACATTATCAAGCTTATTTAAAACTTCAATAGCAAAACAGATTGTACAGATCTGAGACCTAGAGAGTGTTAACTGAAAAATAAAAGGCTTTTCAAAGTGAGAGGCAACAAGCATTTATTTGAAATAAAAAAGAATAGCTATTTGGGAATCACTGGTTCAGGCAGAAACCCAAATAGTGCTCTGATTAGGAGACAAAGGCAAGGGATATTTATGAGAAAGGCAAGGGGACAATCACATATCAATAGAAGGAAAGCATTTCTATTGGTGCAGATAAGCTAACATGGTGATGCTAATTCTAAACAGTATTTTTAGTTCTCAGTCCTGTAGTCATAATATCTGCTTTCTTGTTATCCTTACAAACAGTTCTTTGGGACACAATGTTGCTTTAGGCCCAGTCCAAAGGTTATTTTGCCCTGTTTTAACATTCCAAAGGTTTGAAGCATAAGGCATGCATACAAAGCAGTTCCTCTGGGATGGCAACCACAGTTCCATTTCAAAGTGTTTCCATGTGTATTATTTTTCTTTTTTTATATATTATTTTTCTTAATGAGAGTGTGATGGAAAATAAAGTTTGTCTCAATAGAACAATAACATTGGTAATGATATCTAACACATAACACTTACTAAGTGCTGTTCTATGTACATTACATATGGTTATATTTTCCTCAGTAAATTTATGAGGTAGCACAATATGATAATCATAGCCTTTATTTTACAGATGAGAAAATTAAGGCACACAAGGCCACATAGCTACTAAGTGGCTGAGTCAGGCTTTTATCTCTCATTGAATTTGTCTTACCTAATTTTATTCACATACTCAAACTATTCCTAAAGTGAGTTTGCAGACCAACTATTTTATGTATTCACTATACAAGATACATATCCAATGGGCACTTATACTTTAGAAGCTGTTTTAGCCAAGAAATTTTAGATTCAATTTATAACCAAAATGAGGAATAAATGAATCAAGTGCTTAAAATAGTAACTGTCTCTAGTATATACTAGCCTAATCTAGCCCAAGGTTACACTACCCCAGGTGAGTTTACTCACTTTAGTTGGTATTTGAATTTCCTCAGATATAAACACCTCTTCAATCTGGACTGCATCTCTGGGAAAATATCCAAAGTCCTTTTCTTTCTATCAAAATGAAGAACAAAGATTAACAAGGAAGAGTGATCAAAGCAATAATAAATATTGAACCTAATTTTGCTCCATGTCCTTGGCTTTCATCTATTTCAAATCACAAATATTGACTTTCATTTGCCATCTAAAAGAAAGTGAGTGAAATCATATTCCTTTTGTTATTCAAAAGAACAGCATTAATTTGAGGAAACAAAGAGCCAAGCTGTAAAATGCTACTTTTTCAAACTTCGGAGGGTAACCTTCCCGTATACTCATTTTCTTTCTTTTCGTGTTTCTTAATGACCTTCCCTGCCCAGGTGGATCACAGATTTACACTAGTAAACCTGGGATATCAAAAGGCAAGGGAATGGTGGGAATACCCAAACTAGATAGAGCGGTGACATATTCAGCATTTTCAAGATGTCAAAATCAGGTAGAAGTTTTCAACTTTGAATGGCTGAGATAGATTCATCAAGAGAGTAAGGATCTACGAGTCCTCCAGGGAGGATTTGATTCCATTCAACTTTTCTGTGGTTACCTTGGTAACAGAGATCTTCTTATTCCAATTTAAGAGTATGTAGGATGGCCCCTAAATGTGAAGGCTTTACAACCATTCTCAACCCATTTCCTATCCCAATCAAGGCTTAAAGAACATATTTCTTTTGGTCTTTTGATCTAGCTCCATTACACCATTGTGATTCTTCCAGCTCTGCAGTTGCTGCAACTATTTGGAAACTGAGAGCCTGTGGGTGAACTCTACAGTGCGGTTCCTTAAACAGTTATGTGCCAGGACCAAACACCTAATATAAAAAACTAAATGTGTTTGGAACTTCACCCTGGCTCCACACATTACACACTACTCTTGTGCAGAATTATCATGTTCATACATAGTAAACAAAAAAGAACAATTTCTTTTCCTCTTAGACCTATGTCATTTTCTTATAGCTGCACTGGGTGCCTACAAATGTGTTCAAGACATAGACTGGCAATGTTTAAGGGACCATAAGCAGTAAGGGATCTTGGGGCTTGCAGAGGCCAGGCAAACAATTCTGGCCAGCAGCAGTCAGCATTTCAGTCATACATCCCTGAGCTAAAAAGCAAGATAGATTCAAATAAAACTTCTCTTTCAAATAGTGATTGTAGAGGCTATACAAGGGAAAGATCTTATACATATGCAATATGGAAATGATACATGTATAAGGTTGGTCATGCTTATTCAACTTCAGAGTAAAATTGCTTATCATAGCATCTTTTCATTATAAAGCATAAAGATACAAAGCTATTTTCAACTGAAAATATTAATAATTAATTTTCCTATGTTATGTATTCAGAAAGGTGATTCTGACTTCTAGGAATTTCAGTGTAATAGGACTTTAGGTCAAATAAAAGACTCTCTCAGTTCTTTTTTTCCATGTAAAGTTCATATACCTTGCTTCCCTAGGCTACTAATTTTTCTGAGGATGTGTTCAATAAGAACTCAGTCCTTTATTTGCTCAGAAAGACAAATGTCTTCTAATCCGATTAACTAAAACTTTCTAGTCTCTTAAACTTGGCCATTAGCAGCACCAAGTGATGGCTGAGAATATCTAACTGTCACATAATATCCATTGGCACCTCTAAAGTCTTTCCAGTAAATATAAAAATCTATGTTCAAAATTGTTCATACTATGTAAAAATAATTTCTTCAAGGCCCTTGTAAGTCATCCATCCCAACCATACTGCCTTTCCAAAAGCTACTTTATAGAAATTCTGGGACCAACACTGAACAAGACCATTTTTGTTTGTTTGTTTTCACATGTTAAAGGTTTTATATATAAATATATATATATATTTTTATATTTACATACATATATACATATATACATATATGTGTATGTGTGTGTGTGTGTATATATATTTCTTTGAAATTCTTAAAGTTCCTTTAGAGATGAAAAGCAGGCACTCTTGTATAAGCTAGCCATTTATTCTGCATTCAGTTTTTAAGACTTGATACTTACACTTCCTGCCCACAAATCTTTTTCTCCTGCAAGTTTAACATAAACAGATATCTCTTCTCCCTTAGTGAAGTTCAGGTATCGGCAGTCAGGTCCTCTGTAATCTCTGATGGCTAAGACTCTGCATATTAAAGCTATGTAAACATTGTAAAGAAAAACACAATTTAAATTAAAATGTTATGTCTCGCCCTCCCATCCATTCTATTTGCTCTCTTCCAGTCCATTCTATGTATTTCCAAATGCTCATTTTTTCATATCATTTATGGTCTCAAAAAGCTACATAGACTTCCCACTGCACACAGAATCAATTCAAACTCTGGCTGGGTATCCAAGGCTGTTCATGACCTGGTCCTCCTATCCTATTTTGAATGACTTCCTCTTGCTCCTTTACAGTCAGTCTCCTCTATCCATTGTCCCTGGAATGTGTCATTATCATTCTCCAGTGAATAGGGAAGGGAAAAAAAGATAATTAGTGTTTTTCCTGGCACCTATATATTCCAACCATTATGATAAGCTCTTTCCTATCTTTATTTTATTAAATCCTCAAAACAGAACTATGAGGTAAATTATCTCATCTCAGTCTAGCAGATGACAAACGTTGGAGCCAAATTGCACTGAGCTGCTCTTCACTGTAACATCCACATTCTGTATTCTGAGCTTTTCTTCCTGGTCTTTCCTAAGGCTAGAAACACTTCAGTTTCTCTTCATGATGAACTCATACCTACTTCCTCTATGAGACATCCCTAATCGGTCTTGCTTACTCTGCTCCTTCTCTGAACTTCAATATTACCTATTAACTTTATGTTGTATCAGTACTTACTGTTTAATATTGACTTATCTTGTCTCACTATTCAGTGGAGGTCAAGAAATTTACGTTACATTTCATTTTATTCCTCTTGGATACAAGCCCTCTACCCAGACCCAGCATATAATAGGCCTTCAATAAATATGAATGATTATATCCACATATGATAGATTAAATACATACAGTAATATACATACCAAATTAACGATTATCATTATACTGATATACATAAAACTTTTTAATTAAGTCATGCAATTAAAGTTAAAATAACATTAGAAAATACTATAAATTTGAATATTCCCATTCCATGTTCTGTGTCTGGCCCTAAGGAAACTAGAATGAAGTTGTAAAAAGGGAAAGAAAGACTATTATTATTTTTCTTATTATAAAACATCATCTAGTAAACCTCTATATATTAAATTATATACCCAAACTGTTAAAGAAAATGTTTACTCATAAAAAATTTGCTTGTAAATTATTTTTTACACTAATAATATTTTCTATTTTTAATTTACATGTTGCAAATCAGAAATAATTGTCACATACTGCAGAGATAGAACTTATTAAAAGCAATTATGATATATTAGGATATATTCATTTTGTACCAGAATGCTAATAACAGAAAATAAATTAAGTTCTTAAGCAATAAAATAAAATTTATCTTTGTAGAACATAAAGTTTAATATTTAAAGATGTAAATAAAAATGTATTCTTCTAACACCGATTTCAGTATTTTTATGCAATAAGTGAACACAGAAATTATTAATGTTTGATAAAGTTTTGACAGTAAATCCTGATGGTATAAAATAAAAACATTTTGAGAAAATTCATGAGAATCAGAAAGTTCTAATTATGAAATAGAAACTAAAAAATATCAGGGCTTCATAAATCAAGAACTATCAAATGGCTTAATATCTTTTCTAATATAATTCAATTATATTTATCTTAAAAAATAGTGAAAATGTTGATTAGTTTGTTTTTGAGGTCTGGATTAATGCCTGTATAATTTCTGATATATTTACATATCAGACTGATCTTTGCCCCTGTGTATACTTACATTAAAAACTATTGCAAAATGCTTGGCTCCAGCATTTTCTTTTAATACTGAACTACGTAACTACAATATTTCTTAATGATATTAACGCTCATTTTTATCACACATGTCCACAATAACATTTTATGTCATTTCGGCACCCCAGTTTAAGAGGAAAGGAAAAAAAAGAAAAGCAAACTTACTTTCACATTCCAAATCACCACATTTTTTAAAGTCTGCCAGTAGTTTTGCGCCCTCCGGACACTTTGTTAGAGAAATAACCAAAAGGAGGATTCTGTGAACTCCGAGCTTCACCATGCTAAAACAAGCAGGAATCCTAAATGAGGTTTAAACCAGTTAGGCAGTAGATATGCCAGCCAAAACAGGATATACTCCACTATCTTTACTAAATATCAGAGGAAAAGGTATAGGGGTTTTTTTGAAATCCCTTGATAACTACATTTTTCTATTGGTGTTTAGTCTTGAGAGACAAACACTCTCTGTTCTCAATCTGCAGTGTCAGGTATCCAGATAATACATTGGGGTTTAATAATTAACAGGGATTTTTTTTAGTTGGACTCATGTCTTATAAAGATGGCCCGTGTAAAACCGCCTCTCTTAAAGGCACCTCGTGTTCAACATATTGTAAACAGGCCTCCACAAGAAGGTAGTTCCCTTCTTTCTGTTAAAGTCTTGAAGTAAATCAAACAATAAGTACAAACTGAGTATTTGCTGCATACAAATATTAGCATCAATGGAGAAAGTATATATTATGACATGGAGAAGCAGTAATAATTTATTTAAAAAATGGTTTTGAAATATCATGATGAAAGTTAATTGGAAAAATATGCCACTTTGCTATTTAAAAAATCTTTAGTGTTACTATGCAGTTTGAAACTTGTATTTTGTTAAGAACACTAGTTAAAATGTAGTAAGTACTTATTATGTTCCAGGTACTGTCTTAAACACTTAATTGTATACGAGGAAACTGAGGTACACAGAGAAGGATTAAATCACTTGCCTAACGTCACATAGTGAGTAGAGAAGAAATTTAAACTTAGGCACTGTGGCTCCCCCTACTCATAACCACTATGGTTCCTACCAAGAATCAAGTTATCTGCCACAGAAACATGTCTACTTTGTCTGCAATAGTGCTCTTCCAGAAACAGCAGGTACAGTATTATTCCATGTATTTAAAATTGTATGCATATTTTTATGAGTGGAGAGAGAATGAGATATTTGAATCCTCTCCCATACAACAGGTGTATATAATGTGATTTCAGGTTGTATTCACTTTCTTCTTTGTGCTTTTCTATATTTTTTGACTTTTTTTTTTTTTTAATGTCTACAGCACTTGTTCTTCCTAGGTAGTTTCCCATCCAAGTACTAAGCAGACCGGACCCTGCTTAGCTTCTGAGATCAGACGAGACTGGGCGTGTTCAGGGTGGCGTGGCTGTGGACATTGACTTTCTTTTTAAAATCGGTGAGCGTATATCCTTTTTCAAATACCAACAAAGCTATAAAAATCAAGTTATTTAAATGTTATTGTCACATAAAAGTAATCGAAGTCCTATATTGAGAATTTTAGTGTAAAACACTAGATCTCAGTAGGTTTTCGGATACCACAGTTGTCCTATTTCAATCTTGAGAAAATATTTTCCTAAGCTCTTCTTTGCTGTACCTTTTCCCTGTATTTGGGTATGTCAGCATGTATGTGGGTTGCAGAACGCAGTACTTTTATGACACCACACTCCCCTCTAGTGCCTGACATAAACAAGACAAATATCCAGCACCTGAACAAGCTAAAGTGAATTTTTGCTTTCAGAGTCCTGAAAAAAGGAAATGTGTTTTTCGTTTGTTTTCCAGAAACAATTAGTAGGAAGCCTGCTCTCTCAGAACAAAGATTTTTATATCCTTAGAAAGAATCTAAACTGGCTTGCAGTCAGAGCCGTGCATAGCTGTTCACATGCATACTCGAAAAGGTATAGGCTGGTTTTTTGAATGCTTTTGAAAATCTATAAACTATGTTGTCAAAGACATTTACAGAAGAATTAGCTCTTCAGCTTCCAAATTTGGCACAGAATTATTTGCATGATTTATATCAATTTGAGAATATTTGATAATTAATATACTTTCTTTTTTGTATTCGATATTAAAGGTATCACAGATAAATTCTGAATTAATTTAATTATGTTTTAAGTTAAGAGAGAAAAAAATCCAGATGAATTTAAATTTGTCTATTGATTGGCCTAAACGAGATTTGAGTCAAGAAAAACAAGAGAGAAATCCTTGCCTAAAATACCATTCTAGAGAGATTTGCTCTTACTAGAAATGCTCCCACTTTCTTGCTACTTAATACACTCAGGTGATCTCATTTTATGTTCAGACCATTATTTAAATATAATTAAACATGATATCTGAAAATATGGTAGCACAATGTTAACTATCTAACAGACCCAGACGAAGAGGTAATACATGAAAAGAATAAGAGCACTTAGTTTAAGAAACCAAAGTATCAATTTTCATTATAAAAATAGTCATATTAACTTAGCCAGATATTATCTAATTGCTAATGCATTTTGCACATCGTTTGTGTCAAAATTAAAATATAATACTGCTACTGAGGAAGATTTCATAGTAACACACACTCAGGAATACTGATTTGGAAAGCCTATAGCATTTTTCAGAAATGATACAGGAAGTAAGAGTACACACTGTGTAGAGCTAAAGAAGGAATCACCAAAGCCACACGACTGTGTAATATCTTAGAGATAATACTACAGAGCAACGCTTTTCATGAGAATATAAAGACATAATCGTGAATGCTGCTCTTCTACTGCCTGGTGATGTTAATCTGATACTATATTCTTAGTACCTCAGATTTTCTAAAGTGAGAACATATTTTCTTCAACCAACTGCCTGTTACTCTGGCAACTAATAAGATAGAAAAATTTGATTAGAAGGTACTTGGGATAAGCTGAACTGATTAAGCTGTTTTATGTTGTTGTTGGTTTTGTTGTTGTTATTTTTAACTAGGAAGGGGACATTAGAACAGAGAGCCCTTGGAAATAGTCCCCATGGTAGACATGTGCACAGTGAGATATGAGGCCCAGGAAAGATTGAGATTCAAATTGGTGTGGAAGACATGGAGATGGCCCCCAACATCCCCTCCTCAAGGTAAAACTTTCTGCTCAGCTGCAGGGAGTGCAGTTAGCAGACATCCTCTGTCTGGCAGTGACTTCAAGGTCTACCTCAGTTGCAGAGAACCACCTTACCCAACATGACCCCTTCCTGGGTGGTCTAGTGAATCTAGTGAGTAAATGACAAGGAAGTACAAAGTCAGGGTCATTTCAGCTTAAGGTGAGACACTCTGACAAGCACTTCTTACTTGAGTTCCCTGTTAGGTTGACTGAAGCTTTGTGGAACCTACATTGCAGTTTGCCTTCCCCTCTGCCCAGTCTTAGTTTCTCCCTCTTCTTTTCATAGGTGTTGATCCCTTGAACCTTAAACTCTGTCTCAGCATCTGCTTTAGAGGACTCAGCCTCAGAAGCTAGTGATCCACAGACACAAAAAGAGGAGATAGCAGAACATGGCAAAGAGTGGAGAGTGGATTGGGAGAAACCAAAGGGGAATATCCCATATACACTGTCATTATTCCTTTACTATGTGTTTTAAAATAATAGTATGTAACATCCTCAACATGCAAGATGATACATGTATGATATTTGCTGATCAAGGGACCAAATTGATTAGTCTCATTAATGAGTAGAAGAGGAATTTAATGTTTGTGGAGCACCAACTTTGTACCAGTGAGCCTATTGGATGCATTCCAAGATGTCAGAAACAAGGCTTTTAGGTGGAAAATAACTTGGTATATGTAATAAAAAAACATAAAGGCAGGTGGAGAGTGGTAGGAGATAAAGTAGGAGATGAAGACAAAGGTCCAAACATGCAGCGACTTTTGGCTGTGGAAATGAAATGTGAATTTCATTCTAAGTGCAATGGGAAGCCATAAAAAGTTTTAAGGAAGGGAATGACAATATTTGTGTTTTTATCATATAACTTCACTTTTTTGCTTTGCTAACTCTTACTTTTTTGTTTTGCTAATCCCTACTCATTCTTCAAGTCTTTTAGGTTAAATTCCTTAATAATACATTATTCAATAACTTTTTATTGAATGGAAGAATGAATGCATGAATGAATAAATGAACTGACGTCTTTCAGCTGTGTAGCTCAACTGTTTTGAACTCTCTCAGTTCAAAAAGATCAAGTAATCCTTTTGATTAAATTTTCTCATCTGTAAAAAAATTCTGACAAAAAGAATTGGACCCCATATTTTTCTTCGTTACTGAGTTTATATTAGTAGCAGCAGTCAAACTCTAAATATCCAGCAAGCAAAACTATAAAAATCCTTTGCATTCCCAAATACCATAGGGATGCTTGACAAGTTGCTATATGAGTGAGTTAACGGAATAGAAATATTTAGTATTCCTACTAATTTCCAGTCATCAATAGCCTGAATGTCTTTTAAGAACTCATTTGAATCAATTTTATGTATTCTAATACCATCCCTTCCAAAATGCTCCTCCTTCACTCCTCACTGCTACCCTCTCCCTATTCATGTATCTTTTCTTTCTTGCTTCTTTTGGCATCTATGTCCCTAAGTATCTTATACCCCCAAGTATCTTATGCCCCCAAGCTTCTTTAAGAAAAAGATTAACTCACAAATAAACCAGCAACTTAATGTTTATGTCTCCCCTCAAAATTAAAAATTTAAAAGTTTATAGAATACAATTTCTGCATGAAAATGAATAAATTTCTTATGATTATTATTTGTTTGACCCACTTCTTTCAAAGGTATAAATAATAAAATAACTGCTATCATTATTTTTATTTTTTTCTTTCTCCCTTCTTCCAGATTGCCTAGGGCATAGAAATAAATGCCCCCTCTGTCAATGGTCTCACGCTAGGACTTGGCAAACTATTCAGCCTCTTAGAGCCTTGAGGTGTTTGTTCACAGAATGAGAGACTTGCACTAAATGACCTCCACAAGTCCTTCCAGCTGATATTCTATGATTATCTAAAATTTTACTGATTTCTGTAACCAAAACATAAAACTGGACTTGGCAAAATTTCTGTTAACAAGGTCACACTTGATTTCTAAAACTTGATTACCACAGATTAAAAGTAAATTTAGGAGGTACAGGATGCATCCCACTATGTTAGATACAAAGGGATGGGGACATAAAAATGCCCTTAGATAGTAAGATAAAATAAAGTATGCACACATTCTCTTATTTACCAAATAGTTTTTGAGTGCCTATTATGCACCAGGCACTGTGTTGGGCACATAGAACACATGAAGAAAAAGCAGACAGTGACCTTGTCTCCATGGAGATTACAATCTATGGGGGAAAACAAACAAGACAACTAAATTCAAGAATATAAAAGAGATATTCAGGATGCTAGGGATTGGTGGTTAATTCATTGTGAAGCAAGA